AGTCATTCAAGTTAAAAAGGTTGGCTCTCTTATACAGGCAATTGCCTTTTGACACTCAGGTAGAGTGAGTAAAGATGAGACATTTGTATACACCATTAAAGCAACAAAGAATGCTGATATGGTAGGGAAGAAACACAAACTATATGTCTCATTGACTAAAGTGTATCAAGTCAAGATGAGATCCACATAAATGAAGTTGGATTGAAGATTGGAATCCCACTTCCATAATACCTGTAGCCAAATAACAAACCCTTCAACGTCGATGTTGTAGATATGAGCAGAGTTGAGGAATTTGAGTTTAGATACTGGGTGTATCTAGACTTAAGTCTGTACAGTGTTAATGATAAGTCCAAAATGACATACACTCTTATAGTCAAATAGTAACACCGTAGTATGTGTTTCATACCACATGTACTGGAAGAACTGCAAAAGGAAAGCAAGTGAAAGATCCCTACTTCATTGTTGTGTGAGTCCCAGGGAGGAATTATCCTCCCGTTGGTGTCCTTTGACTTTGACAATATCACGAATATATGTTTTAGTGACTACTACTTTGACATGTGTCCTATGGTCATAATAGATGCTATCTAAGGTATTATGCTAGGAAAGCAACTAATTCATATCAAAGTAATATTTAGGCGAAAAGAAGATTAACTGCAATATACACACCTAAGCTAGTGTCTGTGACATGTCCCTTATGATATTTTGTTGTTGTAAATATGGACACTAGACATATGAGGAAGGTAGTCTGAGTCAAACATTAACTCGAGAGCGATTAGATTTACCATGAAAAAGTGTATATAGGTAAATCTAGGATATCTGTGGCATAACTTTAAAATTCAAGCTACATGAAGGAGAGAGTGACTTGTGTTGGTCGTATAAAAGGATTTCTAGTACAAGCATCTCAATGAAGACGTCATGCCCACGTGGTCACAGTAAAGTACTAAGTATGAAATTGAGGGGAGACAAAGAGACTAGACCCACGACATCTAATCCACCAAGTGTGAGTGGGAGATGTAGGAAAATGGGCTAGTCTACCCTTGGTAGATTGGACCCAAGCCCATTTATATTGGGACTCTGATGCAAATAATAAGATATTTGGGTCTTCAATTGTGAGCTTCACCCTTTTATATAAATAACAAAAAAAGGGGAGGAAACGGTTAAGAGATAACCATGAGGAGGCAGTTTTTTTGTTTAAAAAATGAAGCTAATAAACTACCACATGAATCAGTTTTGTCTGTATCAGTTTTTCAACTCCTCCCTCCTGTTCTCTCTTCTTCCTCATCCACAAGAGTGCATTTTCTATGAGCCTCCAGATTTGAGTTTAATACTGTAATCGAACCTCCGTGTGGCTATCTGAGATTGTCAAACTCTCCAGGTATACCCAAAATCCATCATTATGAAGCTAGGGAGAGGTAGTAGGTATATGTAAGGATGTATATATAAATTTCTATATATATACCCGAATGGTTGCTCTATTTTTGTTGACCGAAACAGGGGTTAAATGAGTCTCTGATTGGTGTTGAATCTTAGTGGTTCAAGAGAGGAATAATAGGGTGTAGATGCATATGTATTTTCTTGTTGCATGTAACGTTGTTGCTTTGTTTTGGGTTGTCTGAAACAGGACCTATATTTTCCTTGATGAAAGGAGTCGGCTAAGGTTTAAAATACACACACGCACATATAATGATTATGAGTGCGTGGATCGAATGTTTATGGAGCTTAAATTTATTGTGTGTTAAAGAAGTTGCTAAAGTTAACAGGAGGAGAAGGACGTTTCTTACATATATAGATATATGCATGTGCCGTGGGGTGCTTGGCATTTGAATCTGAATTATTAGTTTAATTAGGCGGTAAGAGTTGATTACAGTTGGTCCTATGTATATGTGAGATATTGGGTTTAGGATAATTTAATTGGAAGTATGTTAATCTGGAAAAATTCCAGATTTGTTAAGTTGTGTGAGATGCTTATGGGTGTTTTGGGTCTGAAAATAATTGAGGAAAGGTTGTAACCGAAGAGCATTGTTATTATTAATGATATATATATATATATTTATAGGAGGCTAGGCGGTGGCCGAATAAAAAGGGAAGAACAAACTGAAACTTGCATATATATAGATATATATCGGTGGATGATAGCTGTTATGACAAGTGAGAGTACAGCATGTAAATTAGTGGAAATAGGATGTGGTATGGGTGAAATGGATTTGAGGCCGAGGGAGATTAAAGAATAATAGAGGTATGGGTTCATGGAAATGACATTTAAATAGGAAAGAAAAGGTGGGTTAATTAGATAAAGAGTTGCTATTCGGTTTGAATAAATATGAGCAAATGAAATATTTAGATGCTTATGGGAAAGAGAAAATGAGAAATCAAGATAGAATGACAAGCTTGAATTGTTGATGTAATATTGGTTTAAGTGTTCGAATTATAAAGAGATTAAGAATGAAATTGGAAGGAGAATAAAGGGATTAAAAATATGGTTTATAATTAGTTATGATTTTAAGTTATTGAAATAGGGACTTCATATTATTGATTTGAGGTTGTTACATTGAATGGGAAAAAGAAATTATTAATTGAAGTGTGCACACACATATAACTATGCTTGCTATTCGAATTGAGATTGTTGATGTTGGGGGTGTAAGTCTCAAATCTGGAATTTTAAAGATGGAACATAGTTATTGAAAGTTGAGTAAGTTAGGAATGAATTAATTTTATGAAAAGTATTTCCCTATGAGCTTAAGACATGGAAAACAAAGGGAATGTAGGATTAAGGTGCTGTAATAGTGATTTCCAAGGTTGGAAGTGATTTTTAGATTTAAGTGGTGAAAGGATTAATTAAGAAGTGGAGGTTGGGGAAGTGTATGAGTGGTAGGGAATTGACCATGAGGTTTAGGTGTGTTTTATGGTCAAAAGTTATGTATTTGGAAAATTCTCAATGGTACAGTTAATGGCTAAGGTGTGGGTTAAAATTGATAATTGATAGAAGTTGTTGGAGGAACACTAGACCAAAGTTTAAGATGGTCAATAGATAATTGGAATTGAGATAAAATCAATCGGGGCGATGACATAGATATATATACATATAGTTTGTGTCTCAGCCATGGGTGCAAAATTAGTGAAGATGGATTTTAGTTAATTTCACTTTAGAAATTGATTGAGGTATGAAAGACACCTTGTTTTTCCTTAAATGTAATAGACAAGAAGATAATATTGTGACCAGTTACTAAATAAAGTAACTGTTTGGAGTTACAAAAGAAAGGAAAACCTTTCAGAAGTTATATTATGGATATAGAAAATTGTCTAAGACGACCAACTAGTAAGGATAGAGATTAAAGAATATTTGGGATTTAAAAAGAGTTATTTAATTTATGAATTATAGTTTGATCAAGTATTGAGCTACCCTTACCAATATGATAGGTTTATATGCTCAAGCCTACCAGGAAGCAGAAAAAAAGAAGAACGGTAAGGTTTGATTTGGAGGGAAGCAGCCTAGGTAGTAGTTCTTTCCTACCTTACACTTATGTATGATCGTTGCATGTTTATTTGTGACATGTGCTATTCCAAAGCATGAGAACATGTAATCCTTAATTCCTTGCATGAGTTATAGCCGTGATTATGTGTAGCTGACAGATATGGGGCCTTATGAGCCATTATTTGCACTGCCTTATGTGCCATTACAAACGTGGCCTTATGAGCCATTATTTGCATGGCCTTACGAGCCATTGTATGTTTGACCTTATGTGCCGTTGATTGTGCATTCAGCTAATCAATCTAACTATTTGTCATTACACTTAAATGCTTTATATGCATAGCTTGCAAGGTTATGTTCCCTTTGGCTTGTTTTGCATGCTTTGTGTAATTTGCACATTTGTTTGATAGAAATTACTACTATAGTGATTCTTTAGAATCTTACCCTCCTATTCATAATGAATAGCAAAGGCTAGCAGCTCGAAAGATAAGGAGGTTATTTAGGAAGAAGGTGAGCTGGTTGAAGAGCAGAGATGCCTGCTATATTATGTACTTATGAAGTAGAATATTTTGATAGATTAATGTTTATACTATTGTATATATCTTATGGGCAACTAACTTTACTTGCTTTATGTAAATATTATTTTGTATCCTTCATGAGAAGGAGAGCATTGCCGGGTGCAAGTATGTGCTATCAACCAAGATGGTTGCTATATTTTTAATATAATATTATGAGATTGCATGATATGAAATCTTTCTAGGTGATAATAGATTAAGTTGAAAGCAGGGTGAATTGTACATCACTCTTCAATTATTCTAAAGGTTTGAATTTTTTTGATTGACGAATTCAATGTTAAAGAAGAAAAAAAATTTCCTTATTTTTTCCTAGGTCGAAAACCTAGCGTTTATGATTCACAGACATTAAAATGACCCTATTAGTATATAAAAGTTAGGTGCTGCACTTTGCTCTCTTTAACATACTTTAATCCTTTAACCTTAACTTTTGAGCTTTAATTCTAATTTTTCTATAATTAATTTCACATGCCATTATCCCATAATTTTGTGTGTAGAATCCATTTTCAAGCTCAAAATTATTAAAATCAAACTTCTTTCTACTTAAACCCGCTTGGCCAAATTGTTTAAGGTTTAGGGTTTAAATTCTATTTTCAATTGCAATACTTCTAAATGTGTTTTTTCACTTGTACCATACATAATTTTTCATTCTAAACACATTGGAAGCATCAAAATCATCAAAATCCAATCCTATCTCAAACCCTAGCTATGGCAAAAAATTATAAAGAGTTAGGGGGAGTTGATTTTATCCAATTTCTACTATAAAACCACTTGATTCTTGTTCCTTTCTATCCTTTAAATATGATTCTAGCGTCAATCAATATTTTTCATGGTTTAAACATAACTGAAAATCACTTCTCCTTAGGGTTTCAAGCTTTCAAGATCCATTAAAACCATGGTTAAAGCTAACAATTCATAGAGCATCATGAACTAGAAAGAACATCACCTTGATTTAGGACTTAATTTCACCTAGGTTTAACTTGATCTTCTTCTCTTTCTTCTTCTTCCTCACTTAGCTGAACTCTCATCTCCCTTTTATCTTCATGGTCGAAAATTTGGCCTAATATGAGAGGAAGGGGTGTCTGTAGAGTGGTTCAAATTTACCTTATGGTAATTCCTTAAATTATCATTTACTTGTTACCATGCACACTTGTCATTCTCTAATCCCCTTGTGATTTTGCCACATAAACCCACTTAGGTTTCCTAAACATTTAATACAAATGCCACCTCAAAGGACACATAATCTTACATGTGATCATAAGCAATATTAATTCTTAATAATTCCATTTCTCTCAAACATGCCCCTTGACAATTTGTATTATTCCATTCATATCCTCCTCATTATTTTTGCATTAAAATAAGGAGGAAAATAGGGAGAAATTCATATTCTCTTTTACCCTTGACTATTTCTCTACCTATTTTACGATTTTACGTCGTATCAAGTTTTTTTTTTTTTAGTCCTGACATGCCCGGTAACTCTGGGACATGTTCTGGGACCCTTTTTTCATCACAATCAACTTCACATGGAATTTAACATGCATAAAAAGAGAGTGATGCTCTTCTCTTTGTTCCTTCATTAAAATATTTAATAATATTTATTTCGAAGTAAACTTGACCAAATTCTTTCTACCGGTCCTTGACTCTGAAAACCTGTCTTTGAGCAATAATACTATCCTTTCATCAAGGGAAATTTTCTTAATTTTTATTAGGTCAAAATTTAACTCATAGACGGTTTATTTTGACTTTTCCTAAATAGTGTATAAATAGGCTTTAAATTCTGTTAAAGCCAATCTCTTTGCTTTTTAGGGACATAATCATTTTTAAAACCTATATAATTTCTCAAGTATTTATTCCCCATTTATCTCCAATTATCTGAGGCCTTCTCATATTTTCAATAATTTAATTTCGGCTAATATTCATAATTAGCCAAAGCCCTAGGAATTTCATCGACTTGCTCCAGGGTATTTTTGTCATTTTAAACACTATACGGGACTCAAAACCTCATTTCCTATTTTTCTAGAATTTTTAAAATTTTGTTAGAATTTTTGGGTGTAGTTTCCATTATTGTCTTTTTCTGGCTCAAAATTTTTCAAATTTACAATTAGGTTCCTGCTTGGGTTTAGCTTCAAGAATCATCTTACTGAGGTTCCCAGCGTAACTTTTGGCCCTTAATCATTTCCAATTTCTATACTCAAGCCCTCAACACTTCATTGGAGTCTTTAACTTGCTTGTCTCATGGTTCCAGAAAACTCTTAGTTTGTGGTTTTGTGTATGAGAATCCTCTTGTCTTTCTAGGAAACATTTGAAACTCTTACCAAAAGGGTCTAATAACCTTCCCATTTCAGACTAATTTTGGTACTTCTAAGCTTAAAAATTGGAATGTTATAGGATTTCAGTACCCTACCCATTTCAGGCTATTTCTTACATGCATACTACACTGGGCTTTTCAAAATTTCAGTCTTTATTATAAGTCACTTGCAGAAAAAATATTTTAGTCCAAAATATAAATAACTTGTAGGGTACTTAATTCTCGTGGAAAAGAGAGAAAGGTGAGAAAAATGTGAGAATGATTTGTAAATACAAACATAGAAATTTTTTTAATAAAGATAAATTTAAATTTTTTTATCATTTTAATGTGTTCCTTAATACGTGAGAATGGGTTACAAATAATTTATAATAAAGCATGGTAAGATGATATGAAAGGGGTAGTTAGTGAGACATAAGAGACAATAAGACCGCTAGCTGTTAGAATCGACAAGGTGAAGAGCAATTGAACAGCGCAAACTGAGGGTTTCTTTTGGTGATGTGCTCGGTTACACATAATTGGGGCCCATCATACAGGAAAAAAATTTGTTTTTACTGCTACAAAATATGCTAGTTGTATCTGTTCTTTTTTTTTGGGTTTAGGGGGAGATGTTGACAAAGGAGACGTAGATAGTAGTTATATATTTATCTGTTTTAAAATAGATGGATAGGGACTCTCTATATTCGTCTATTTCAGAATAGATGATATGGGCAATCATATTCGTCTGTTATACCAAAACAAATGAACATATTCATTTGTTTCGCCCAGAGCAAATGAATATAGCCCATATTATATATGTGTGTATTAAATAAACAGTTGAAATTTGTTAGACAGTCTTTATTCAACCTGTAATTCTAAAGTGTAGAAGCATAACCAAAACAAACTATAAATAATGATAGCAATTCAAAAGAATCAAATCATGTTATACTTTCCAAACAACAATAACATCCTAATTAATTCTATACACGCTTAGTTAAGCAAAAAAAACCTAAACACCGTAAGCTAATCATATAACCCAAGAAAGTTCTAAAATCATAAAATCTAACAACATCCTAACTTAGTTAAAGAAACAGAAAATCATTTTTGACATCATGTATCATTGAGAATAAATTGCTTGGTCCAAAATATAAGTCATCTCGAGAGTGTTTAAAGCTTTGTCAATTTTGTCCTTACAATTAATGTTTAAATGTAACTCCTTGTATTTTTTCTCTTTCCTTTATAATCTCATTTAATATGGGCAAAGTTGGAAAAAGATTTCTATTTGGAACAAATTTAACGAGTCAACTACATTTTTCTGATATTTATGACTTAGTTAAATTGACTTATATATATTGTGGACCAGAAGGAGTATATAACAGATACGAATATTGTTTAAAAAATATAAAAAGACAAAAAAATAAAAATCATTATTCAGTTTGTCTTAAGTCAATTGGCATTAGTAGCCTGTTTATTTCATGTTTATTTTGTTGAGATTCTAGACCCATAATTAAGGATACGGCATGCTTATTTATAAAAGTGCCACCACATTTTGTTATTATCAATTGCTCATGCAACCTATGCGCATAGGCAATGTAAAAGGCGTATATTGTAGTAATGTTTTCTTTTTTTCTAAAGCTTCCAAACTCTTTTTCTTGACATTTTCCTACAAAATTTCATTCTAAAATCTTTCAAAGCATTAAGAAAATTCCTGCCCTAACTTACTCATACTTCGTTGGCCAAAAATCACAATAAATGAGGAAATTAAATATTGGTTGTTTTGTTTTCCTTCCATTCAACACATGATTTGACGTCTTTAACAACTCTAAACCTTATTTTAATAATCAAGCTTTAATATTTTTTGGAAAATTGAAATCACCTCCCTTGGGTTGATGCTTCCAAAAATTCTAACAATAACAATAACAACATGCTCCTTTAGTCCTATTGATAAATTACTTTCAGCATGTTTTGTATAGATCAAGAAAAATTTTAAACTTTATTAACTGTCATTTAAAATTTAATAATTTTTTAATTTTATCCCTATATAATACTACCTTCTGTTCTAATTATAAGACCTCATTTGTAGACTACAAACGAGGTCTTATAATTATGACTAGAGGTAGTATACATTAAATCTCATAAAAACAAAGTCAACTAAATAATAAATGAAGGATAAAATTGTACATTCAGAGCAACTCTTCCACTCAACAAATCTGATTTGAGAGAGTTTGCCATGTCAAGAACAAGATCAAATCATGAAAATACCGCTTAGATGGAAGCATGAGCCGGGAACATTCCTAAATCAAGTGGACAACTTGATTCTCCCTCCCTTATTCCTCTCCTCCTCCGATCCTCTTCCTCACCCTCACCTCTTTCTTTATTTTTCTGATGGTTCTGTTAAAAAATGATGATGGGAAAGAAGGTTTTGGAGAGTTAATGTGGAATATTCAATTATATTTAATAATTTGAAACCCATGGAATGCCGCTACTTTTTCTTCTTAAACTTGGGATTTTTTAAATTATTTTCTCTGTAATTCTAGTGTCCAGCCATGCCGTTCTGCTCTTATTTTGAGCTTGAGCTTGATTTATTTGAATTTTTAAACTTTGGGTAAGAAATTTTGGGTTATTTTTGGACATATAAAGAATTAAATTCCATAATTAATTTCTCTACCAATAGCATTCATCTAACTCATCCAAATATTCATTCTCCTCATAAAGGAATTCCCCCAAAATTCTCGGGCCAAATTTGTGATCCCTAGCATTTTTTTTTTAATTTTGAAGGAATTACCTTTTTTTAAGGGTGAAAAACGAATTTGAAATATTCCCAAATTAATAATTTCAATTTCTTGGTCACAAAACCAATTTTAAACATTCAAGATAATTCCAAAATAATTTTTCCCTATTATTCCTAATTATTTGAGGCCCTTTCATAGTTTAAACAATTGATTTTTGGCAAAATTGCACTTAATTAGCCAAAATTATTAATTCTTTATAAATCTTATTTTTGAGGTACTTTCATCTTTTTACTTATTTTGAGCCCTAAATATATTCTTTTTGGAAAAAAATTCTTTTCTAATTTTCATGAATTTATGGAACTTTATTGAAATTTCAGGCAGATTTTCTAAAATTACCTTTCTGGCCAAAACGTTTTAAAATCATGCTTTAGACCGAACTTAATTAGGTCTAACTTTAAAAGATGTCACATTTGTATTTCTATAAGTTTATTTGGTTCATATATAACTAACTTTAACTCTCATATTTGACTAGCACTGCGGAAGCCATAAATATTTCCAAACTCACCATTGTGATTGACTTTTTGTGAAAGAAGTTGCAGAAGATTTCGCCACTGGAACGCTGCCGGCATACTTACGTAACTAGAAAATAGAGGCATTAGAATTCAGCTCAGAAGTTTCCTTCATCTGTAAGCATAGTTTGGCCACTGATTATTGTGACTATTTGAAATGAACAGTAATATTCGCAACTGGAGGATCTGTCATTAAGCATGTGAAGATGTTCATGAGCAAAATATGAAAGTTTAACTATGAGAACATTATTAGCATATGATCCGCAAGTATCTCTATAAGTATTTTTTTAAGTCTAAAAGTATGTCGTGATCCTTATCAACTCTTAGTACTCAGCTCACCTAAACACTGTCATACCAAAAAAAAAAAAATTGAAAATCTAGCTAAAATATGAGAGGGATAGGCGTGAAGTAGCGGAGATACTGATGGGTGATATGGGGGATTAAAAATTTGAAATGTTGTTATTTAATTGGGCAGTACATAAATGATTGTGGTACTCTCAATGTATATCCAAAAATTTCTTTGGGAGAATTACAATGAGGTTTCAAGGAAAAAAAAGTTACAAAACAAGTCCCAAAAGTTGTCATTTTTTATTCTAAAACTTATTATCAAAGGCTGCTTAGGTTGTTATAGGAACTTTTTAGTAATTATTTTTCTTTCCTAAGACTTGATTGTAATTCTCCTAATTTCTTTTGATATTTTGGGTTTCATAATAAAATTGTGATCCATCTCATAATTCCCTCCTTTTGCGCCACGTCTAAAATAAATTTTAGAATATCAATATTTAAAATTAATATCCGTTAATTGTAGCCCCTCTAATTATAAATAAATAAATATAACGCAAAGGAGACCTATATGGAAAGCGTGGAAATATTATAAAGATTTCATGTTGAATTTCACTGAAATGACTTTGATTGAAGGGAAATCACAAAAAAAAAAAAAGCCTTCAAAAATTTAAATTTGCAATTTGGGTTCTTAGATTCTGAAAATTGGTTTCAGAAACCAAATAAGATATGAATTAGCAAATGTTGAGTTAGATCAAATGACCCTACTATTTGAACTTATTATTTCTAACTGTAGACTTGTTATTTTAAATACTTAATTTATAATTTTTAATACTATGCTTGTTATTTGGGAGTATAAACTTGTTACTTTGAATACTTAACTTGTACTCCCTCCTTTCTTTTTATAAGAGATGATTAACTAAATTATGTTGATAAAAAAGTTGGTTAAAATTAGTTGGAAGTGATACATCTACAAAAATGCAATTTATTTTCTATAAAACCCTTATTTATGAAAAACGTGGGTGGAAGAGAGAATAAGCAGAAAAAGAGATGAGAGAGAAAGGAAATGGTTATCTCATGAATTGCTTATTCTGGAATATACAAGGGTCTGGCTCACATACCTTTCCCTCTCTCATACGGGACTTGGTTTCCAACCATGGCCTGGACTTTGTGGCGTTGTTCGAAACTTGTTGTGGAAGAAGGAAAGCTCATCAGATTGCCAGCTAGTTAGGATTTCAATATTTTGAAATAGTAGATGCTAATGGTTTTCAAGGAGGAATATGGTGCTACTGGTCTGAAAAATTTAAAACTATAGAGATAGTGGAAACTAATCAACTGTTCATACACCTGAGGCTAGGGAACCATGAATGGCAGAAGTGGGAAATGACTTGTGTATGTACAAGCCCGGTGCCAAGCAAAAGGAAGGTCCTCTGGTACAAGCTACATAGGATCAAGGGGAACGTAGTGGAGTCTTGGTGCGTGGGGGGAGACTTCAACGCCACCCTTCTCTCTTTAGAACATGTCTCGGCAAGCTCTAACAAAGACCCAGATAAAGATTTTTATAATTTTGTTTTTGAAGAAGAACTGAATGATATGGGATTCGTAGGGCGAAAGTTCATGTGGAGGAAAACTAGAGTGGAAAGTCGCATTGACCGTGTGTTATACTGGTGTGATTGGCTGACTTCCTTCCCCAATGCAGTCGTCACACACCTACCCCAGTACAAGTCCAACCGCAGGCCGCTCTTGCTACAATTAAATGGCCCTCATGAGACTAAACGTGTGTAACGACCATTCTGCTTCCTAGCTCCTTGGGTACTACATGAGGATTTTAATGCTCTTGTACAGAAGGAATGGCGCTCATCTTCACCGTGGAATGACATTGTCCAATGCTTCACTGATGCTTGTATCAAGTGGAATGCACAAGTCTTTGGCAATATTAATGGCAGGAAGAAGAAGCTCATTCAGCGACTCAACAGAATCACATGGGCAGAGTCACAATACAGGCTTACGATGACGCTAGAGGAACTTCAATACCAACTCTGGAGAGAGCTAGAAGATGTTTTACTCCAAGAGTCCCTCCTTTGGGCCCAAAAAGCATGATGTGATTGGTATATCAATGGAGATAAAAACACTTGTTATTTCCACATCAGAGCAAATGCAAGAAAGAAGAGAAACTTCATGGGGCCATCAAGGACACGTCAGGCAAGTGGGTCTACAATACAGAAAAAAATAAAAGCCATTGCTAATGAATTCTTTGCAACTCTGTTCAAGGAGGAAGCTACACATCAGATCCCATTACAATGTTCTTTCAGCTACCCCCCATTAGAAACCGGCAACCTCCTTTACTTATAGAGAGCTGTGTCGGATGCGGAAACTATAGAAGCACTTTTTTGTATAGGAGCACTTAAGGCACCAGGGCTGGATGGCCTGAATGTTTTGTTCTACCAAAATCAATGGAAGGTAGTAGGAAAATCAGTTTGTGATCTCATACAATATTTGTGGCAAAACTCGACTAAAATCCGGATGATTAACACAACGTTCATATCACTCATACCAAAGATAGAACACTCGAAGGAGCTTAGAGACCTGAGACCGATCAACCTTTACAATGTTATCTTTAAAACAATCACTAATATCATTGCAAACAGGCTTAAAGCAATTCTATTGAGCATAATAAGTCTGCAACAGTGCAGTTTTGTACATGGACGCCACATTTTAGACAACACCGTGGTTGTATAAGAAGTGATTCATTCAATGCAAACCATGCAAGGGAAAAGAGGGTATGTGGCCATCAAAATTGATTTGGAAAAAGCTTACGATAGAAGCAACTGGAATTTTCTTAAACAATGCGTTAAAGACGTGCAGATACCCGAGATGCTAGCATAAATTATTTACCAATGTGTGGTGACTACGTCAATGAAACTTCTTTAGAACGGTGAGGTTGCCAGTGAGATACTCCCAACCAAAGGGGTTCAGCAAGGAGACCCCCTCTCCCCTTATTTGTTTGTAATATGCATCGAGAGATTGGCCCATCTAATTCAGGAGCAAGTTGCCTCTAAGTCATGGCTGCTGATTAAACTCTGCAAGTCAAGTCCTCCTATCTCCTATCTCTTTTTTGCCAATAATATAATCCTCTTTGGAGAAGCCTCTATAAGACAAGCTGAGGAAAACAAGTAGTGCCTAGACGTGTTCTGTGAGAGCTCTGGCATGAAGGTGAACGCCCACAAGACTCGAGTCTACTTCTCCGAAAACATACATCACGTGTGTAAGTCTGAGCTGAGTACAATATTGGGGTTCCAAGCCACAATGAACCTCGATAAATATTTGGGTATCCCACTTCTGCACTCTAGAGTTACTAAAGACAGTTTTGAAGACGTGGTGGATAAGGTAAAGCGAAGGTTGACTAGTTGGTAGGCTAACAACCTATCGCTGGTGGGACGTGCGACAGTAGTTACGATAGTGACAACAACCATTCCTGGGTACACAATGCAGACGGCTTCATTACCGATGGGCACCTGTGAGACAATAGAGAAATGTAATCGTGCACTTGTATGGGGATCCACTGCTGAGAAGCAGAAAGCCCATCTGGTAAAATGGGAGACTATTTGTCAACTGAAGAAGATGGGGGGTCTTGTCATAAGACACATGCGAAGCCAAAACCAAGCTTTTATGGCTAAGCTCAGTTGGATCATGATGCTCAAGAAAGATGACCTATAGGTGAAGGTGATCCGAAGCAAGTATAAGTATGGCAATGACATGATCCCGATCATTGATTCAGCTCGACAAGGCTCAAACATCTGGCATGGGACTAAGAACGCCTGGAAACATGATGAGGATGGCTATACGCTGGATCTCGCTAACCTTTCGGTTAAATGGAAATAAAGAGTGGGATGTTCTTGATCAAGAGTGCATACAAATGCTATTAGTAATGCAACCCGAGAAATCAGAGGATCTGGAAACTAGACACCACACAACGCTATAAAATGTTTATGTGGTTGGCATACCATAACCAGCTTCTAACTAATGAAGAGAGGGCTAGATGACACATGACGACGGACGAACTCTGCACTTGGTGCAAATAGAGTGCCGAGACTACCATCCATATGCTCTGAGATTATGAAGAGACCGTGAAGCTTTGGAGGGGCTTAGTCGAACCTTCGTGGCGCCATGGTTTCTTCTGGACAAACCTAGATGAATGGATACAGTGGAATGTCAGGAACCAATGGGTGTAATCACAAGGACTAGAGTAGTCTCTTCTCTACAATCTGTTGGCTTCTGTGAAAGAGACGCAATGATAGAGTTTTTGAGAATAAACTGATGACAAACAACACCTTACTCGCACGAGCCAATGCCATGTTGTCAACACTCATGTAGGGTCGTTCTCGCCTAAAGGGAAGCAATCTCAATAGGCAGCTAGTGACCGACAAACATGAGAGATGGGAGTGCCCGAGCATTGACTGGGTGAAGCTCAATACCGATGGAGCCTATTCTAGGAGAAGTGGCATTGGGTGCGGTGGAGTAATACGAAATGAAGCAGGAGATTTCGTAATGGGTTTCATGCACCATGGTGAGCAGGGAGACAGCTTAAATGCAGAGTTATGGGCTACTCTCCTCGAGTTAAAAGCTAGTTGGGATTTGGGGTACTGACAGGTGATCCTCGAAACTGATGCACGTGAGGTTGTGGATTTGCTCCGGAGTCACGATACCCAAACCCATGAAGACACGACGCTGATATCTGAAATTAAGAATCTGATCACAAGAGATTGGGTCGTCCAAGTTCAACACGTGACTCGCAGTGCAAATAACGCAGCGGATTTTTTAGCGAAACTAGCTTTGAGCAGCTCTATGGGCTTTTTCCTGACGACTACTCCAACCGAGGAGCTGAAGGCTATACTTATGCAGGATTCTCCCAGGCTAGCAGATTATGGGTAGTGCGTTTTAAGAGGTTTCTCCTTCTTGTATCAAAAAACAAAAAAAGAGATGAGAGAGAATGAGTAAGGAAAAAAAGATGAGAGAAACTTGTAAGTAATTGAGGGTAAATATGGAAAAAAAGCATTAAATGTTTTAATATCTCCAAAGTGTCCCTTACAGAAAGAAACTTGCCCTTTCAAAAAAATATCTTCTTATAAATAAAAATGGAGGGAGTAATTTATAATATTGTATATGTTATTTCTAATATGAGAGCAATTTGGTCTTTTACACAACATTTGTCAATTCATATTCAAGATTCAATCAATAATAGCAGGTTTTTGAGTTCAAGAACCTGTATCGTAATTTTCAATTTTCTAGAGTCCTAATTGTCATTTTCCCTTGATTGAATGGAAAAGAAAAATAAATAGAAAATTAAGGACGCTCCTTTTGATGATATGACAAGAGAAAGTGAGAAGCACATCATTTACTTTCCACGGACACAATATTTTTCTAAATGTGTTAAAAAATGGTGTAAGTCGCCTGACAATAATTTCTGTGGGCCAAAAAAAAAACACCCAACAATAACGTCTGAACAATATTCAGTTAGTGAAATAATTCTAAAGATTAAAAGACAATTTTGCCCTGGAATTGTTACCTGCAAAAGAGATATTGGGCATTCTAAATTTTGATTGGCACAATTGTTCAAGGGAAAATTACTGTAGAGTCCCACAGAAGAGAATTTACTACCGAAAGGTCCCATGAAATCATAAAATGTATATGAGGTCCCAAGGGACTTTATGGCAAAAAATTTCAAACGTGCAATTACTTTCTTGCCCTTCTGATTAAAGAAAGAAACTGAAGCACACGATTGAGAGAAAAACTCCTATCGGTTGTCATCTTCATGAAATCCGCCGCCGTCTCGTTCGTGTCCATCCTTGTGTGCTCCGACAGCTTCAATCTCCAGCGAGGGCTGTCAGTGTCTGCTTGGTACATTGTCGCTCGCTGCTCTGCACTCCGTCGGTCTCTGGTCCGCACTCAGTCGGTCTCTAGTTGGACGCCTCCAATCTTGTGCACGTTCCGTCGGTCTCTGGTTCGCACCCCACTACCAGCGAGCCTCGTGGGTTCCATCATCGATGACCTTCGCACCCCACCGCCGGCGAGCCTCTCTCTCTTGGTATATCATATTGATATTATCTATTACTGGCATATTTAGGTGAGGCGCTTCTCAGTTTCAGAGCAACAATTGGCTATTGTGTAAGTTGTATTATTTAAATTTCGAAGTAATGTTGGCTATTGTCAATTGTTGTGCATAAGTTGTTATTACAGTGATCGAGGGTTGTCATTAATGACCCCATAACCTGTCCTGTTATGTAGGATGGAAGACTTGTGTAAGTTATATTATTTAAATTTTGAAGTAATGTTGGCTATTGTCAATTGTTGTGCATAAGTTGTTATTACAGTGATCGAAGGTTGTCATTAATGACCCCATGACCTGTCCTGTTATGTAGGATGGAAGACTTGTGTAAGTTGTATTATTTAAATTTTGAAGTAATGTTGGCTATTGTCAATTGTTGTGCATAAGTTGTTATTACAGTGATCGAAGGTTGTCATTAACGACCCCATGACCTGTCCTGTTATGTAGGATGGAAGACTTGTGTAAGTTGTATTATTTAAATTTCAAAGTAATGTTGGCTATTGTCAATTGTTGTGCATAAGTTGTTATTACAGTGATCCAAGATTGTCATTAACGACCCTATGACCTGTCCTATTATGTAGGATGGAAGACTTGTTCGGAGGTTCAGATGCATTGTCCATGTCTCCACCCAATGTGTTTAGTGAAGACCCACTATCATTGCCATGTGGTTCAGAAATGATGCCAACCCCAATTTCGAAAAGGAATTCAACAAAGTGAAAGGGTCTGGTTATTGGAAAAGGATAAATTTTTCCTAATGCAGTAGCCCTTAGACAAGCACTATATAGGTACAGCATTGCTGATAAGTTTTCATACAAATTTGTTAGGCCCATTGCGAAGGTTGTTAGCCACTTCTTTTCGGGTTGTCAACACCCACTGTTGAAGTTGTAAATGAATTGCTGCAGTAAAAATCTACTGTAATCCTATTGGGTTCAATTAAAGCTGTTAATAACTTTAAAATGCTCTTAATTTTTTTTAAGGTCGTTATATATGCTGATAATACAATCTATTTAGAAGCTGTGGCATCCCACAGAGTGATTTGTCAGGGACACTGCCCAGGTTGTTAACCACTTGTCTTCGGGTTGTCAACAACCCCCGTTGAGGTTGTAAATGGATGTGGCAAAGATGATTGTGATATATGCCTATCATGTCATATGGTTACCATTTGTTTATCCAGTTTTATTTAGTCTGCATTTGTGGACATGATCCGTGTGTGGAACGAAGAATTTCCTGTTTTGTCAAAACACATGAATGTCATTACAAAAACTTCATAATCAGTAAATGATGTCAATACACATTAACATATCTTAACATCTAGCTATCACTACATGGTCAAATAAAGAAACAAAATCTGAACTTTACATTCAGCTGTCAAATAAAAAAAACTAAATACAATCTATGCTCATCGTTTATTTCTTCTTCTTGCTTTGGGAGTTTTCTCGTAGCAAAGACAGCACTTGATCACCATGCAGGTTGTTCTGATAAGTTACAAGCCACCACAAGCATCCAACCTTCAAGTCATGGATTTCTTGAGGGGATTACAAGCATCCAACATGCACAGCATACAATCACAACCTACATTTGTGCCATTCACAACATACACAGCAGCTAATGACAATCCACGCTAAACCGAATGACAACAAGAACAGCAGGAAATTACAACCTATACATAAGCAAGCGACAAACTAACAGAGGCTAATGACAACCTGCACATAAGACAATAACAACCTTCACACCAACCAACCACAACATACAAATAAGCAGTTGACAGCGTACATACTAGTGAATGACAACATACAGGATAGTAAATGACAACATACAGAGCAACCAATTACAACATATAAAGAATAGTATATTCCCACTGAGGGAGTTACTTGATATAACCCTAGAAAATACAGGAATATGATGAATGAATGAGATTTGTCCATCCTTATAACAACATAAATTGGATGAAATGAACCAAAAACTACATTAAAATACTGCACTCACGAACTTCTAAGCTGTGATAGGTTTCCTAGTTCATTTGGAATCGCTCCACTTAGGTAATTGCAACCTATGCACAACAATTGACAATAACAAACATTACTTCAAAATTTAAATAATACAACTTACACAAGTCTTCCATCCTACATAACAGGACAGGTCATGGGGTCGTTAATAACAACCTTCGATCACTGTAATAACAACTTATGCACAACAATTGACAATAGCCAACATTACTTTGAAATTTAAATAATACAACTTACACAAGTCTTCCATCCTACATAACAGGACAGGTCATGGGGTCGTTAATGACAACCTTCGATCACTGTAATAACAACTTATGCACAACAATTGACAATAGCCAACATTACTTCGAAATTTAAATAATACAACTTACACAAGTCTTCCATCCTACATAACAGGATAGGTCATGAGGTCGTTAATGACAACCTTCGATCACTGTAATAACAACTTATGCACAACAATTGACAATAGCCAACATTACTTCGAAATTTAAATAATACCACTTACGCAATAGCCAACTGTTGCTCTGAAACTGAGAAGCGCCTCACCTAAATATGCCAGTAATAGATAATATCAATATGATATACCAAGAGAGAGAGGCTCGCCGGCGGTGGGGTGCAAAGGTCATCGATGATGGAACCCACGAGGCTCGCTGGTAGTGGGGTGCGAACCAGAGACCGACGGAACGTGCACAAGATTGGAGGCGTCCAACTAGAGACCGACTGAGTGCGGACCAGAGACCGACGGAGTGCAGAGCAGCGAGCGACAATGTACCGAGCAGACACTGACAGCCCTCGCCGGAGATTGAAGCTGTCGGAGTACACAAGGATGGACACGAACGAGACGGCGGCAGATTTCATGAAGATGACAACCGATATGAGTTTTTCTCTCAATCGTGTGCTTCAGTTTCTTTCTTTAATCAGAAGGGCAAGAAAGTAATTGCACATTTGAAATTTTTTGCCATAAAGTCCCTTGGGACCTCATATACATTTTATGATTTCATGGGACCTTTCAGTAGTAAATTCTCTTCTGTGGGACTCTGCAGTAATTTTCCCATTGTTCAAATATGCATTATGGGCATGGGAGGAGTTGAGTGCTATTCTTTCATTTTCTAGTACTCTGAATCAGATTATAAAAAAAAAATTCTAGTACTCTGAATCATATTATTTTCCTTTCTCCGACGGACATTTTTTTTTTGTAGTTCGCATAATTTCTGCTAAAAACACATAATACTACAATGATAATGATTTTGTGTTTGTTCTAAAAATGAAAAATAACTTCACTTCTTTAATCTTTTCATTTTATTTTAGTTTTGTTAATCTTGAAGCATACTTCAAAAAAGACTTTTTGAATTTTGGAAATAATTATTATTGAACGGAAATTTTGAAAAAAAAATTCCCATTATTCTATACGTTAAATAACTAAGTTACCAGGTCAATTTTTTTTTATTTTATTCAAATAATATTTTCATTACAAGAAATACTATTTTTGTGTAGGAACATACTTCGGTTTAAAAGGCATATAAGAATGGTCGACAAAAAGGTTGTTTGTTTGTTTTGGTCCGAAATAGAGAGAAATTGGTTTCAATTCACTTTCTCTTACCCTTTAAATCTTATCCTTCCTATCCAGATTATTTTTTTGTGGATCTCTCCAATTCTGCAGAGAACTAAGTTGATAACGATAATATTTTCGATTTGCATTTTAAAAAAAATAGAGAATATATTTGGTCTTCTAAGTAGGTTTCATTCCATTCCCGTAGTCTTATTATTTTCCTTGCTAGTCTTTTGAGTTTTAAAGTATGGTGAAAAATTTCCCAGCACTTAATACTGCTAAACAAAGTTAATGGAAAATAGTAATTTACATGCTGAGAATTCATCTTATTAAAATTATTATGTATGATTCCACCAAAAAAAAAATCACGAATCTTCCATAAAACAAAAAGTAACGACGATTCTCATTAACTCCATCGGAAAATGACATAAGTTTTTAGTTTTACCTTTATTTAAAGCCATGCTTTAGTTTTGATAAGAGAAAGGTAGCACCAGATTTGGAAAAACAAAAAAAAAACAAAAGAAAGGAAGTGACACATTAAAAGAAAAGGGTAAAATTTAAAAAACTACAATAAATACTTTCATCGGTGACTTATAATAAGAACCGATTCTTATAAGTGTTTTTATTAAAATAAAGAGGAGGGGAGTGTTTTTAGTGACCGCACAGTGGGCAGTATTTGGTCTATTTGAATCTTATCCTTCTGGTCCTCATTTTTGTGGATCTCTTCATTTCTGCTATTCTTCCTGGAGATCAGTTTCTATTAGAAACGTTTGGAGGGGAAACTAAACGCATATTATGGAGATGTTTTGCATTTTGTGGCTATTGAGAGATCTTTTCATACCAAAAAAAAAAAAAGCGAATTTACAGCTACGATCCTCTAAGGTTTGCTTTAATGTTCTTTAAATAAAAATATTGAATCAACTTTATCACACGCCAAAGCCCCTATAACTTTCTTTTCAAAGAAAGAAATGTGTGTATTATATGTTTTGTATGGTACGGCGCCCTCCATTACTGTGAAGAGTTTCTCCATCTATATCACTCATCTCGTAGACGAGTGACTCAATGCTTCTCATGAACAAATAGTATAAGAAAATTTACTGCCCTCTGAAACACCCGTGCATTTCATACAATAAATGGATACAAGAAAACTAAACCTCATGCATGTTCACATGGACAGAACATTATAGTACACATTACGTGCAA